CAGCCCCGTAGGCCTCTCCCATTTTTCCAAGACCTCCACTACGAGGTTTCGAGGTCTTGGAAACAACCTTTTTCGGCCCGTATCACTAATCCCGCGGCCGCTGATTTCGCCACGGTTTCTAAAATGGCGGCTCACGGCTACGCGGCGATGCCGGCCGTAGAAGAGGCTCTCGCGGCACATCTCGCGCCAAATTCTGCTCCGTCTTAGAAATCACGCCCTCTGCTACCGTCCAAGCCGTGTAGGGTTACTTCCGATTTTTGATCGGAAAATCTTACATGGCCGCTGGGCAGGCCGCGGCTACACTCCATTCTATGGGTGTACTCCAGGCTTATCAGGCAGACGTGCTCAAGGAGCTGGACGAGGGAGAAGGCTTGACTCCAGAGGCCGTTAAAGAGCTCAGACGAGCTACTGACTTGGCGCTTAGGGCTACCAAGCACACAGCTCGGGCAGTGGGCAGGTCCATGGCAGGGTTAGTGTCAGCTGAGCGCCATCTTTGGCTTACTTTCACTGACATTAAAGAGAAGGACAGAACTTTTCTCCTGGACACCCCCATTTCGAGTGACGGTCTGTTTGGAGACTCGGTCACTACGATCGACCAAAAGCATGATGGGAAACGACTGACTGACGTCACAGCTTAATGCTCATTGGTTCAGACAACTGTGATGCTGAGTTCTCGTCTAAAATATTTTATTTTTATCTGATTTAATATGATTATGTATTTAAATTATGCATGAATGTTCCCTGTAAAGTTCTGAAAACAGCACCCCAGTTTAATGTCTTTAAAAAGGAGCTTGCCATGTATACAGAGGTCCTGAAAATTATGAGAAGTGATAAAGCCAAGAAATTATTTGATTTGTTTAATAAGTGTGATTTTGTTTAATCCCCTACATTGTTTATGGTTGCATGAATATATTTTATTTTATTTTATTTTGATGGATGTCTTGTATGATGGTTTATTTCTCTGTTATAGTATGATTAATATGAATGTCTCGTTCTGTGAGGACTTACAGTTGTGGTTATGTTAGCCTATTTTGTTCTGTTATGATGCTTGAAATTTCCACTTCGAGAGGGCAGAACTGTCCGTCTTGACTGCGCTTATTTCACTCCTCCCCTCACTGCAGCCGCCTACTCTCCACCAACATTTCAGGCAAGGCGAGGCGCATCTCAAACAAGCCTAATGTTTTTGGTTTCGGTTTTCTGATTAATGGAGATTTCTCTGCAGCATCATGGGTAATGTAGTTTCGTTTCTCATCAGGAGTCCTGCTGTTAACTCCGATTAAAAAGGTATAAACAATACTTCAACAGAAAGATAAACCATAGATTAACAACCTTGTAGCTCACAATAGGTCTGCCTTTAAACGTTTGTAAATTATCGTTCAAAATCCGGAACCTGACTGTTGCACTACGAATCGTTCAGAACAGTTTTATGAACCTGTTCAACTGATTCTTTTAAAAGATTCAACTCACAAGAAAGATTTGTTCACCGTTCGGACATCGCTGGAAAGCGGAAGTGACGTGTCAAATCCGGTTAAAGCGGTTCTTCACGTTGGAGAAGTGTACAGTTTTAGAATTTGAGGCTGTTTGTACCTCACCTTTTCAGCAAAAATGGGTGACCACGTTGCCAACTATACTTCACGACTTCAGCAACAGGTCAGCTCTGCATTAAAGCGTTAAAAAGTGTAGAAGTTGTGTTCATATATGCATGTGTTTTTCGACGTAGGAGACAGAAGCACGCATGCAGGTCTTAGTCATGATGACTAACGTTATTCAGTTTAATTCGCCTCAAAACTACAACGTGTGTAGGCTGCAGGTTTTTTTGTAAATATAAAGATAATAAATCATGGCATACTGTGCTGAGGCTGTCGTAATATCTTCTGAACTGACTGTTGTGAGTTATTGTTAGTACATGCAGCTTTTTAGAGATCTGGTTTTATGAAGAATATGTTTATATTGGCATCATGAAAATTATGTTCACATCTTTTTTGACGTTGAACGTCGGCGAGTTCGTTGAACCTTTAGACAAAATATGAAAGAAAACAAATAAAAAAATAAAAACACATTTTGCTCATATGTCAAATGTTTTGTATCAGATACTGCAGGCTTTTATGGCTAATTTTATGTTATAGTGATAACATGGAGTTCACACTTTCCTCAAGTCTGTATTTGAGGACATATTTGACTTTTACTTGCTAAATAGGTATGAACGGTCAACCAGCGGGCAGAAGGCATGTAAACAACAGGTTTTTCTACAAAGTTTTGAGCATGTTGGTAATTTAGAGGCCTTAGAAATTCGTTCATCAAATATGATACAGAACTCTTTAAATGGAAGAACCCAAAGTATGCTATCTCTGATCAATAAGCCTATGGATAGTGTATGGACTGGTAATCACTTTCCCAGTCAAAGTGAAACAAATATAATAATATATGTATAATAATAAACAAAGTGTATAATAATAAGTCAAAGTGAAGTTTAATTATGACAACGTTCATGCCATTGTTAGTTTGAACTTTGAAGTACTTCCTTGTAACTAAGGCATGCGGTATCTGATGTTTAAAATATTTGTCCTTGGCCTACTTTAGATTTTCTGTGGTTTTAATTTGGCATACAGGAAAGAGAAATCAAGTTACTCCAAGATGAAATAGAGAGACTGAGAGATCCACAGGAGCTGAACTTCATGTCTTCACAACTGGATGAGTTGCAGGAGGAGAATTCCCGTCTGAAGTATCGCCTCAACATTCTGAAAAGAGTGAGTGTAATATGCTTTTTATTAATGAGATAATTGCAATCTTTGTAGTGTGGCAGAGTTTGACCTCTGCAAAGACAATCATATGTTCTTCTGTGTAATTAAAAGTCATATCATACAGTCTTTTACAGTCATTTTACACATTAAACTACTGTCAGTATAGTTTTCTAATGTGCTAATGTAAGAATAAAATCTAATAATTTGGGTATGTTATGAACATTTACTGAAAAAGTGCATTCCTATAGAATGTTCTGTAAACCTTATCTTTGCAAAGCTTTATTACTTTGTAACAGGATCACAAAATAATCTGCACTGAACTGATGCATGGTAGCATTAGTTATTGGCCAATATTAGAGATTTTTCATTCATTAGTATCTGTCGATATTTAATTGTGTGTGCCGAGTTCCCTTTTTTCACATTTGTTACTTTTTGCAATCAACTAACGCTCACTTAATAATTTAAAAACACTGTAAAATGCCATCTTTATCAAATCTCAAGATGAATATCCATTTTTCGTACTGTACATTGCAATGCTGTGATGCCTAAATTCACTGTAACATTTAAAATTATTGATTTTATTAAATAAAGTTAAAATCTGAATTTTTTATTATATACTATTATTATCCTTGACACTGCAAAAGTGTATGTGAAAATAAAGAGTGTGACAAAACAACGGGAGTGTCTCCACAAAATTTGTGTTAAAAGTTCACCTTTTTATAAAAAAACAAGCTAGATTTCAGTATATTATCTTTTTGGACTAGAGGGGAAGTTTTGGATTGCGAGCGCTACAACTTGACATTTACAAAAGGGGAATTAGTTTCCTAATGACCTGACTATTAATTTAACTGTTTGTTACATTGTTTGAATATCTTAAGATCTTGAATCAAGTACACGTTTGTCTTTTTCATTAAAGTTGACCTATTATGCAAAATTTACTTTTATAAGGTGTTTGAACACAGTTGTGTGGCCGCAGTGTGTGTTGTGTGAAAACAATCAGCCTATAATGGTAAAAATCCACCCACTCATTTTTTTTATAATCCCAATAAATCATAAACAGTTTTTCCAAACGAGCGGTTCCAGATTTTTACCTACGTTGACATCATTGTAGGGAAAAAGTCCCGCCCATTTGTGATGCTCTCTGCCATATTAGCATAGACACCACCCTGAGTGAGAAGCAGAAGTCCGCCATTACAGTTTTCTTGCTGGAGCGATACAATGTCAGAGCCAAATAGGCATTACAAGTGTTGTGTTTCAGGATGCACCAACAAACATAGGAGTCTCCATAGACTCCCTCCATCTGAGCCGCTGAGGACACAGTGATTACATTTCATTTTCGAATGAAACGTCCCAGAAAAATATGCTAAAGTCCTATATGTTTATGCCAATCATTTTACGCCGGACTGCCTCACAAACGAGGGTCAGTTCAGTGCTGGAGTTGTGCAAAGGTTGCTTCTGAAAGAGGGATCATTTAGCTAATGCTAAAGCTACCATTGTCTCTGCCTTTTTTCACTGATGCTGCCTTCACGTGCTACCAGAATGATCGTAAATAGGAATGTCGTAGTTAAAAATTGCATATGAAAGCAATGTGAAGTCGACAGCTTGAATTTGTCGAGCTCATAATCACAAGTGGGACTTATAAAGTTTGTGATAGCACGCGAAGGCACCATGAGACCAGTTACATCTTTATTTTTAGCGCGCCGTGCTCCCCGTCTATGTAATTCATAAATGCGCATTTACTATGCACAGTACAATCAGATGACTGACTTTTAAACCGAGTACGTTTTCTGTAAAGATAACAGGCTTGTACTTGTAGTGGACAGCACATTCCAGTGACCAGTGTACGGCGGGCCCCTCTCTGACCACAATAGTGGACTAAGGTTTGGTACATTTTGATTGGATCTTGGTGGACTAACATAAGTAAACTGTCCAACACCATCAGATAAAGATGCTAGGACAACAGCCAGACACCTCTTAGAGGGCAAGAAGACCTCTGGTACCAAGCCCAGGAAGGACAGGGCTTCTCATTGGTCAAAATGCAGTTTCTGCCCTTCACCCACCCAGAGACCTGTTCCTAAGGTTCTGGTCCGTGACCGCCATAAAAATTCCTTTGGACCTCCAGGTGCAACAGCACAGCAGTGGGTGAAACAAAGAGAGATCCATCCAAATCCATTCATAACTATGTTTTCAAACCTTAAACTGATGCAAACTACAACACATCTTATACTTATTCAGAGAAATAAGTATTCTCAGTGACAGCTATGTGTAGTGCAACATCTTACACAAACTCAGCTGTTAATGGACAAATGAATGCATGCATGACAGTTCAATCTTTCGTAACATTGCCAAATGTATTCTGGTTGTGGTTTGGTAAGTGAATAATTCATTGGTAGAACTTCAGTGACACTTTTCTAAATGTGTGTTTGGACTATGCAAATAAGTTCCACAGGAGGAAAGAAGGGTTGGCGTGGGCCACACCGTGTCCCCCCCTCCACTTTGATTGAAACAGCCAATCACAGCATGGAAACAGAGAAGCGCCAAATTGCAATCTCCTCCTCATCGGAAAGAGATAAAGGAACCCTTCCAAAAGACACACCTCCGTCACACAAGGGTGAGACAATAGCAGATCAACCTCTGTTCTGAGTTTGAGTCCCGCAAGGGTGAGACAATAGCAGATCAACCTCTGTTCTGAGTCTGAGTCCCGAAAGGGTGAGACAGGAAGGGACTGTAACAGATACAATCGTTCTGAGTCTCCGGCACGTCCAGTGAGACACTAGCAGATACACTCGTTCGGAGTCTCGGTCCTGTAAGGAGAGAGACAGAAACAGGTCACCAAACATTCTGAGCCTCTGGCCCGTGAGGGAAAAGGCAATAACGGGTACCAAGTCCTGAGTCTCCAGCTTTTGAGGAAGCAACAGGTACAACCACATTCTGAGCCTCCAGCTGTTCTGAGTCTCTATACCAGAGAAGCAGAAGACACGCAGACATTTGCAACAGGGTTAAGCTCCGGTGAGCAAACCTTCACTTCAAGGTACTTTTGCTTGCGTATTCCAGGCAAGGACCTTGTGCACCTACTCCAGGGCCACATTTGCGTGTTCCAGATTTTAGTACCCTTTGGCACTCCAGGAGATCAGCATCCTACAGCACTTCGTGTTCAAGGCTGTGGAAATGGATTCCTGCTCCTTTCCCCACTGCATTGTTAGCTGCACAACCAGTGGAAGAAGTCACCGCTACCGGACTGCTCACTCAACCACAGAGAACGTAAATATCACTTATACAAACCTCTTACAGAGAACTTGGCATTGTTGTATATTATCAGTATATGATTTTTCTAATTTACATGAGATATTGTGTAGCTGATTGCCGTTGATAACAAATAATCTTTCACGTATTTGTTTGATGCATAATAAGGTTCTTCACCTTATTTGTTTCAGAGTAGCAACAGTTTATCTTTCCAGATAACGTAGCTCTGACATAGCAACATCCAACTTAAAGGGGTCATATGATGTTGCTAAAAGAACATTATTTTGTGTATTTGGTGTAATGAAATGTGTTTATGCGGTTTAAGGTTAAAAAAACACATTATTTTCCACATACTGTATATTATTGTTTTTCCTCTATGACCCGCCTTTCTGAAACGCGTCGATTTTTACAAAGCTCATCCGTCTGAAAAGCGAGGTGTGCTCTGATTGGCCAGCTATCCAGTGCGTTGTGATTGGCCGAATACCTCAAGCATGTGACGGAAATGTTACGCCCCTTACTATTAGAGCCCGACCGATATATCGTTTTGCCGATATTATCGGCCGATATGAGCCTGTTGCCGATGTATCGGTATCGGCGAATATGCCGCCGATGTGAAATTTTTTTTTACAGAACATATAATGCAGATAAAATGAAATGGTGTAATTACTTAGTTTGTCCAGCAGAGCTCCATTGTTTGCTATTGGCGATCTGGATGAAACGCTTTAAAGCTTAAGTCTATGGAAAACCATTGAAACTTTGAACGGCCATATCTCCGTAACGGCACGGCGAACCCGCACCAAATTCGGGGGATCTCTTCAGCTCAAGGAACCCTCTCGAACGCGAATTGAGTGTACATCTCGAGGCCCTCTTTCGAATGAGACTACCCCCGCGTGGATAGCGCCCGGGGTTCGGGAGTTACGGGTGGTTAAATTCGCGGTCCGGTGACGACCGATCTAGCGATCCTGGGGGGCTACCGATGCGCGGAGGGTGGCGTTCGAGAGGGCTCCTCGAGCTGAAGGGATCCCCCAAATGTGGTAGAGATCCGCCGGCGCGTTCGCGAGATAGTGACACCAG